CCATGTGGTCACCTCCGGGGCAGGCGGGAATCGAACTCATGCGGAAGCGGCTTTAGATTCTCAGTGCTGTGCTTTAACCCGCTGGGCCACCAGGGAGGGCCTAGTTTGAGTTTTTATGAGGCCTAGAAGGGTACGGAATAGCTAAAATAAGCTTGATGAGAAACATGCTGCTCACTAATGAATATTAATTAAATTGACTAAGCTTACATCTTGAACTGTATCCCAAGGCCTGAGCAACCATGTTGATCAACTTAATTTGTACTAATTTAGCTTCACAGTTCCAACTTTGCCAAGGCTATTCGGTTTCTGAATCTATCAGCATTTGTCTCTGCAGCTTCAAGTTCACGGTAGAAGCCTCAGATTATTTCGTTGAGGAGAGGGGCGAAAGGAGGAGAAGAAAATAGATTGCCTCGGCTTCCCAAATGCACCCTTTCCTGGACTGGGTAGTTCTAGACTGGCCCAATAAGCAAACTCTAACGGTGCAGTAAAGATCCTCACCACTAGGTGTCTCAGTGGCCACTTCCTCCATCTCCTTGGAAAGCTGCTATCGGCAAGTACTCCATTGCTCTATTGTTGAGCTTCCAAGCACACAACCTTTTCAAATGGTGATTTCGACTCCTGGGTAAAGTTCCCAGTAGATCTAATCAGTATTTAGAGAGCCCCTTTCAATAACAGAAACGTTGGATTATCAACCTTTCACTTATTTCCTTTAATGTGTGTAAGGATAACATGCTGTAGTATTTGTAGTACAATTATTTATTTCTCTAGATATGAGGAAGGAGACTTCACCCGAAGAGCTGATGATGTCCTTCCTGTCCTGGATCACTTCTCATCCCCAAAATCAACTAACTGTTATTTCTAGGCTTTTCCCACCTGGTTATTGTACCCTTAAAGATACTCTTTGATCTTTAAGAGATGGTCACAGATGATCACTCTTTATCCGCGGCTAAATTAATTACTTGGATATATTTTAAAGATCAAAGAAAAATAGAATTTAAAGAATTATCAAATAGAGGAAGGGGCCGTAGAAACAAAGTTCCATGCACAAGAATTTTTATCATAGGGCATCAGAAAACGATGAAAAGGGAAAGAAACTCAACATATGCTATTAGAATAATTATTTTACCAAAAACAAATCAAACTAATTCCAAATGTATTAAATGAATATATTTTTAAATCAAATCCTAAAAGAGTGAAATAAATAGAAGTGAAAATCTGGGTCTTTGTCAGGAAGGAAATTTTCTAAGATTTGCTATGACAAATTATAAAAAAAACTTGCCAATAAATTTACCTGCATGAGAATTAGAAATCACCATTTATAAAAGAAATAAGAGAAAAATCAAAAGTGAAAATGAAAAAATATTGCAGGAAGCAATATAAATGGTTATTAGCTTTAATATACAAAGAAAGTGAGTAATTTTATTTATTTTTTATTATTTGATGCATACAAGAGCAGGGGTGCAGGCCAGAGATGTGGGGAATGGGCAGTGGGAGGACTCACCAGGATAGTGGAGAACAGAAAAGGCAGATC